AATATTATATTTAATTCTTTTATGATATTATATTATTATAATTAATTAGGAGAATAATGAATTATTAGTATGTAATATAATATTAACAGTATAGCTATAAAATAGGAGTAATACAATTTTATTAGAAAGAATAAAATAGAATAATATTGTTTTATTATGTTTTATCCTTTTTCTCGTATTTGCATTTTAATTGGAATTTCCCTATTGAATGTTAGTATATCAGTTAGTTACGTTACGCGTTAGTATAAAACTTGTTCGAATCTATTCACGCCTGGAGAATAATTCAATCGGCCGTGGAAGACGGTCGGGCGGTCTCATTTCCCAAATGAAGCTAGCGACTGGCATATTACGTTTAATCCGGCTCATTTTGTGTCTCGAGAGTCGAGTCCTCGAAATGTCTCTTGAAATTCCTATGGGGATGATGGCTGAGATTAACGCGAACCACCAGATATGCCAATTTGTAGCTCGTTTCTCGAGATTACGACATTCTTCGTTACTTTCTTCTTCTTCTTCTTCTTTTTATTCTCGTATTTCTTTTTCCTTACCTTTTAAGTAAGCAAAATTTATCGAATTCATAGATTACCGTTTTATCACAGGCGACGAATCCTTAAAATCAATCTAATAACGAACGTATTCGTGAGTAAAATACTACAAAATGATTTTTACAGTGCCTTTTCTTATCTCATTCTTCATTTTCGTTTTTCCTGATCCAAGTATTAAGATGAAGGGATCCGAACGAAAAGAGATATGGATTGACGAACGAATTCCTTGGGTGAACTATTTCTCTCTCTCGAACAGTCATCTTTTTTCACCCTTATTGAGCTGTCACATCCATAACCGAGTCTTCATCCCTGTGAATCCTTCTCAGAATTCACTTCGTGGTTTAACAAACTGGATTCATCAAAGTCGACATCTATCGATCGTTTACATTAGTTTGTCTACTGCTTATAGATAACAATTTGTTCATCTGAGATTAGATTTACTATATTTGATTTTTTTTCTTAAGCTATAATATTTACATTAAATTAAAGGATTATTTTTAACAAGTTTGTTCAAATATTTTACGATCAAAATATATTAACCGATCGTACAAACATATCAGTAATGTGATCGACTAATGGCTAGAGAGCAGAATGAAAGGGCAAAGATAAAAAGATATATTGACATATCCCTCCGATGAGTATCAAGAAAGCTGTAGGACCATGCCAGGATATTCGCTATATTGACAGGAGAAATCCCGTGCTAAATCATCCGTCACCCTAAAGTTCAGCCCGGTGGCACGAACTTAAGTCCCTGTCTGTCTGTCTACCGTCACTCAAGGACATGTTACGATCACGCCCCCTTTTACCACAAAGCTCTTTCGCAAAATGGAGTATTATCTGAGGTTAATCGTATTTAGAGGGTCGAATTTATTAAAAAGACAATGTTTTAAATCGACGAGAGTTAGACATTAGAGCTAATTGTAGATAATAATTGATACTGAATTAATCTCCTTAAATACGTTTTTATCTAATATCGATCAAAGCAATCAAAACTATAAAAAGAATCAACTCTAACACGTTAGATAGTTTTAGTAAAAGAAAAATAGGATCGAGAGAAAGAAAAAGGGTAGACGAGCAAATAAGTTGACCTAATAAAAGATTATTGGGAGAAAAGATAGGAAGAAAGAAGGAGGAGGAAAAGAAGAAGAAGAAGAAGAAGAAGAAAGGAGAAGGGTAAAGGAAACTACTAGATGGTGGAAGAAGTCGAAGGTGGCTGGCTCGATGCGGCGCGCGTTGCGACGAGCCACGCAAAATTCTTTTGCTACCCTCCCTTGCAATTCTTCGTTCGACGGAAGCTAGAGAAGCTTCCACCACCAAGAACGCCACGACTACCACTCCGTTTCAGGATCGCCTCTTTTCGTCCTTCTTCGCCCTCTTTCGTCGTTGCCGGTCGCATCCCCTCTTTTTCTCTCTTTCTCTCTTTCTCTTCATTCCATCGTGGATTCCATCCTGGAACACGGCCTCTCCGCGTTTCGCAGGAGGAACATGGCTCCCAGGCAGGATCCATCCGTATAGCAGCCACCCCTCTTTCTCCTTTACTGGAAGAGCTGTCCCACCCCGTTACCGCTTGGCCCCTCGTTGCATTTTAAATCAAAGCCCCGGAGGTAACGCAATCACCAGGCATCACGACGCTTCCACAATTTTCTACTTTAAGCTACTTTATGTATTAGTAGCTACCTCTCTGCCTCCGACCGTTTCACCGACCCCTCTCCTCTCATCTCATCTCGTCTCATCTCATCTCATTTCATTTCATCTCATCTCATCTCATCTCGTCTCATCTCATCTCATCTCATCTCATCTCATCTCTGCTCTATCTCTCCTTCCTCTTCTTTCTTCTTGTTTCTGGTACATCGTTCAACCGAACAGTCTTTCCAGCATCATCACCACCACTACTACTACTATCACCACCATAGTTATGTTAGTCTACTTCTCTCTCCTCGCCATAACGCTTCTTCTTCTTCTTCTATTTTTTCTTTCCTTCGTCTAGAGTCTATCTTGTACGCTTCGCTGGTTCCTCCCGCCGTTGAAGAAAACTCTTCACTTCTCATCCAACAGCTACCTAACAAGGTTATTTTATTAAACAACCTCCGTTATTCGCTTGCCAATATAGCCGGATTCTACGTCGAAAACACTATTGGACGAGCGAAAATTCAACAAACGACCGGACGAATGCTAATACACCTAGACTGTCTGTGCGTTCACTGAATGTTGTGTGAGTGTCGTGTGAACTTCGTGGGATGATTTTATTTGTATAAATATACTACCTATGTAGGTAATACAAGAATTATTTTGTATCAAAGATACAATGTAATAATAGTAATACTACTATGTTACATTTTGTATCAAATTCTTGTATCCTTAACTGTTTTAAGGATTTGATAGTATTACAAAGAATAAAGAAATTCTTTTCAGTGACTATAAAATGATCTTCATAGATCGCTGTTGTGGTAGATTAGATGAGTTATTAATGAAGCGAATATTGTCAACATGTACAGACACGTTGACGAAGCAACGACGATAGTGAGATGGATAATTGAACATTTTCGGGACACCCCGTGGCAAATTGGATGGATAGAGAGAGAGAGAGAGAGAGAGAGAGAGAGAGAAAGAGGGAATGAAAGAGGAAGGGAGAGAAGTAGAGGTTCTAGGGATAGTTAGGTATGTACATGCGATGTAGGTATAGGGTGGTAGCATGTGGCATGTAGTTCGCAAGCGTGGCGCGGTGTAATCCAGTCACCACGTAACGCGATTATCCTCCTAACTCGGTCTCTTTCTCTTTCTCTCTCTCTCTCTTCCTTTATTTCTATCCCTATCTCTATCCCTCTATCACAGTTCGGTTGGTCGGTCGGTCGCGCGCGCGCGCGCACCCTCAGCACCATCCTATCTTCCTTCCCTTTCTATCTCTCGTTGGAAACCCGAGTATCCCTCGAGGGCATAGAGAGAGGATCGACGAGAAGAACGAAAACCTGCGCGTGGATAAGTGCGTATTCGATAGATATCATTGAATAGCTAGTTGGCTATTTATTCAATCGGTAGAGTTAACCATTGTTGTTGGTGAATGAGCTTTCATTTTTCACCTCAATCTGTTTATTATACTTCATTCTTTCTTTTTCTTCTTCTTTTTTATATACCTTATATTTTATTTTGATCCTTTTTTGATTTAAACAGAAAGGGACGAACGAACGAACAAATTAACGGAGACGATCCCACGAATCAAGAACGAATTTTAATTTTACGTTTTATTCTTTATGCATGCTAAATTCAAACTTTATGTCGACTTGTTGTTATATTGTTTTCTTCTATAATATGTATCTCATTTTACTTTTTCTTATTTTTCTTGTTATTTTTACTATTTTATTGTGAGACAATATAAAATACAGTATCTATTGATTTTTCACAATAAGTGACAATCTCGTGAGTTATCGAATTCCACAAAAGTTCGGGGTATCTATTTGATACCGAGAGGAGTTGTTGGAAATGAGATTTTCAGGATCAAGCTTGAAAGAGAGAGAGAAAGAGAGAGAGAGAGAGAGAAAGAGATAGCTCGAAAGATATGCTAAAGAAAGTAGAAAGCATTGAAATCGAGTAAGTAAATAGAAGAGAAATATTGGAAATAACAATAAGAAGAAACGATGCGTGAGATAAAAATGTCAAAAGAATATAAGAAAAAAAAATTAATGTAATATGGATATATCGATAAGGATGTTATAAGAAAGATAGGATGATAGTATAGTACGGTATAATACAGTGGTCGGAGATAGAAAAAGCATCCAATCTTCTTAACGGAATGAATAAGAAACTTAGAGACGTAGATACACCTGATACATAAGAGAATCGTTCTGGACGAGGGGTAAACACGATTTACACTATGATGACTATCATCCTATCTTTCTTTTTCTCTCGTCGAAAAAGAAAAAGTTCAAGCCCAAGCCCAAGCCCAAGCCAAGCTATGCTGTACCCAGAAAGTAGAGGAAAAAGAAAGAGAGAGAAAGAGAGAGAGAAGTAGGAGGCGGAAAAACAGGAGAGAAGACTACTAGAGAAGAGAAGTAGGGATGTTTGTCGTACGCGTTATTTGCCCAATAAAACCACGTGGTGGGCTACGCGGCAGCAGGCTCGCGTCTCACGAACGAACGAACGAACGACGAACGAACGAACAAGGAGGGTTAGACGATCAACGTGCTTGAAGTTAAGGATGGGGCGGAGGATAAGAAGGAGGAAGAGAAGGACGAAGGAAGGGAAAAAGATAGAAAAAGAAAGAGATATAAGAATGGGATGAGGGGTGAGAGGGTTGAGGGTTGTGGATGAGATACAGAGAGCGAGAAAGAGAAAGAACTATAAAAGGGATGGAAATAAAAACTGGAGAGGGGAAGTTAGAGAGAAAGAGAAGCAGAGACCGAGAGAAATCAGAGACCACGCCTTACGAGCCGGTCGGCGCCTGCGTGGTTCCGCCTATCGAGCACGCTTTCCTTCGTCAGCTATCGTCCGCAGGGACGATGATATCGTCCGTGACACCGTACGCGAACGCACTACCGAGTTGGATCCCATTCGTACGGATCTCATTCGATCACGCATACGATCTTTACCGAGTTGTTAATATTTTTATTTGCATTTACGATCTATAAGTAATTATATTTAGTTCGCGTTCTAATTCTATTAATCGACGGTATAGATGTACTACACTTTTTTTTTAAGATAATGTATAGTTCTTTTTTTTTTATCAATTTGCTAATTGCGAACATTGAACTTCGATATACTGTGTGAATTATATTATTATCTAATAACAAGTAGAGGCATCTGCTATCTCGAGAAGTCTTTATTGTTGTTTATCATCTGTATGTAGTCCAGGTGTTAATTGATAATTGGTTATCATCCCATCGAAGATGCAAAGAGATCCACGTGAGCGACTTTGTTACTTTGATATCTGAAGATTATTTACATTGGCACACAGCTGGCACTACTTCATTCAAGATAAAACGTTCTACGAACTATCTATGATCTAAAGATTCTATTTCTGATGAAAGAAATGTTGTTAAACGTTACGATTTTTCAAGAAACTGTAAGATTATTTTGCAAATATTCTTTGAAGAACGAATTTGAACGATCCGAAGAAGATCGAAAGGATCAATAGAAGATCGAATTCGGTGAGTGACGATTACGAAAATACGAGAAATTCGAGGAAGAGATTTTAAGTACACGCGGACTGATTCGCGCGCTTTCGAGCGCCATTGGATTCGCGCTAAGGGCGCGAAAATCCTTCTAGTTCCGCAAACTTGCGGAGGAGATCGGGAAAGTGTTGTTCAGTCACGAGTCCAGGATTCTCACCCCCGGAGGCGGCACCATCTCGCCCGGGGGCGCGGGGCCACCCGCGAGCCCTTCTTCGGGACACTATCGTCAACAAACGCACAGTCCACCCTTGGTCAAGGTAAATGAAACTTTACGGTATTTTTATTTTCTTTTTTTTTTAAACGAACATTTTGATTTTCTTTATTTATTTAAATGAGAATTTCCTTATTTTTTGTGATGTTTTTGAGATAAGTACGTGTTTCGGTATTGTCCGTCGGATTCCTTGAAAACTGTCATGAGAAAACAAAACTCAATCCGTTGCTATAAAACGCCACAAAATTCCTCCAATTTTATGTTCGCAAAGAGTCTCGTTGCGCGTTCATTCCCCAAGAGATTGAATAATGGTCCGGAAGAGACGCTCTTGCTTTCAGTCTAAATATAGTCACTTTATTCATGTAATCGTAACGCGTAGTTAAATCGTTGATTTTATTCAAGTCTATGCGCGAAACACGGTAAGATATTATTCTTGATTGAGATTATCTACATTCAATATTTTTTGAGACAATTCATTATTTGTGTTTGAACAGAATATTAGATATAATTCTTTGAAATAAACATGATACGCGCGATATCCTGAAAACGTTTCCTTTAAAATCACATAACGATTTTTGCGGAGTGAGAGAAATAGGAAACAAAAGTAGGAAAAAGAAAACAATAAGAAATAAAAATAGTGATAAGAAAGTATCATGAGAAAGGTGATTAAAATGGATAGAAAAAAATACTGAGTCTAAATCAATTATACTAGGATGTATCCTTTTAAAATAAATGCGATACAATGCGGTAAATATTATCGCATTGAAGAAAAACCATAATCCCTTTTAATAACGTGAAGATTTTTATAAAGTGTGAGAAATAAAAGAGAAGTAGTAAAAACAAAACTTTATGAAATAAAAATAACAACTTAAGAAATACATTAGAAAGGAGTGGGAAGAGGGGAGGAAAGAGTTACAGATTCAAAATCAAGGATACCCATATCTTGTTAACGCAATACGATAGGTATCACCATGATAAAAAAAGGATATTCATTTTTTCTCATGATCACGTAATGACAAGAGGATTTATATTGAGTAGAAGAAATGTGAAGAGGGAAAAAGTTAGGAGAAAAAAAAAGAAAATTACAAGAAAGAAGTAGATTGAGATGCGACCGAGGACAAAGTGAGAAGAAGAAATAACGAGAGAAATAAAGAAGAAGAAAAAAAGGAAAAAAAAAATAGAAAAATAAAGGGGAAGTGAGGCTTACGATGATGGGTATAAGGGCGGTTGTCGCGGCTCGTTTTCGTCAGGCAGCAGAGGGAAATCCCCCGGGGTGCCAGCCGTGCGGCAGCTGTCTACGGCGAAAGCTCTCCTTAGAAAAGAGAAAGCTCGTTGGAATTTAACACGGAACGATTCTTACGCTTTTAGGATTCTTATATTTTTCCTGATATGTTCATCTTTCATTGTCGGATACCACTCGACTAACTCATACGAGACACCCTAAGATTATTCTTAAGATTATTTTAGTTAATGCATATCGGTTATTGATTTCAAATTATCAAATAAAAAGAAAGAAAATAAACTATAGAGAGAAACGTTTGTTGGAGGAAAAAGGGTCGAATGGTGATGCAATTAAGAATATTCTGATTAATGCGTACCGATTTTCAATTTCAATTCCAAATAAAAGGAAAATAAGTATTGAGATATACAATATCAACAAAATAAGAATAATTGGTTATCGAGTTTTCGCCATAGGAATAGCATTGAAAGATTTAATGCGGCCCTGTTTAGGCACACGCGCCAACGTTCGATATTTTCGTTGTGATTAAGCTCAATTCACTGTTTCTTTCTCTCTTTTTCTCTTTCAATAAAGAAGCAAAGCTAAGGAGAAGACGTCGCGCTAAACTGCCGCAGCGTTGTTCGCTCGCGCTGTCTGCCATCCAATCCTGCCAACTTAACCTCATTAATAAATTAATTAGATATTATTGTGTTGGCAGCCAGGGAGGCAGCTGCGGGTCTCAGTCTCTTCGCTTTCTTCTCTACGTTATTCTCTTTCCTCTGTCTCTCTCTCTCTCTCTTTCTTTCTTTCTCTTTCTTTTATTTTATCTTCACAACCGAACGAACCCGCAGATGATGCTTAGAAACCATGTTCGCGAGGTCGAGACCCGTGACGTCATTTTTTCTCGGGACGACAATGCGTCTATATGCTTCTTCTGCCTATTTGCTACCCGCACATTATTTTTTTTTTCTTCAACCTCTTGCGATCATGATCTTCAGCGTTTCCCTTCACGAGCTTTTAATTTCCTATTATCACTTTGAAATCGAAATCACGTTTAAATATATATGTTTATTCAATTATTTTTAATATATATTGATATATAGGGTCTCTCAGTATGTTCACGCCGATTTATAAATATATTTTTTAATATACATATATTTTTTTTTAATATACATAAATTATATTTAGTATTGAATTATCTGGAAAGTTCATGTTGATTTTGATAAATATGTATTTATATGAAAAAGAAAGATAGAATATAGTTTAATAAATCGGTACGAACTTTTTGGGGAAAAAGTAAATCAATGTTTATTAAATAAAAATATACAATGAGTGAAGAGAATATTTGTACCCGCTCCCGTTGTAAATTTGATATAATTGGTATTTGTTTGTAATGCGAAGTTTCAAAATTCTTAGGTATACACATGATTGCTTATTTTAGAGTTATTCAATTTTTAAATTGAGATAAATTTGATCACAAAAGAACATTTCATTCTTAGAGGGATATAATTTTACTTAAATGTGATCATAAATTAATTTTACAAGAGTATTTTTACCTATGTAAGATGTAAAATAAAATACATTTATTATTTTTGTAAGTAGTACTTGATTTTCATCATATAATGCTTTTGAGACGATTGGATATATCTTGGGATAACACACTTTTTGTTCATTTAAGTAAAATTATATTTCTCTATCAATAAAATGTTCTTCTGGAATAACATTTATACTAATTTAAAAGTTTAATAATTCTCAGCGGCGCTATGGTAATATTGGATAGATATGAGAAGGTCTTCGTAGAGAAATGACTCGAACCCAGAAAAGGAGAAATAAAAAGATACATTAATAATACTAATGTAAAATATATTACTGTGTATAAAAATTGTGATATATTGAATTATAAGCAAATATTGATTGTTTTAAATTGGCGAGTACAAATACTTCTGGGACTAACAACTGTATATCAATTTATGTAATTTGTGTTCGATGAACGATAAAGTCTTGACGATACTAAAGTGATCAAGTTGGAAGAATTAGATTGCGTAGGAAAGAAAAGGTCAACACTTAGCGAAGGTCGTAGAGCATATCCTGGTCAAGGAGTCGCTAGTCGCGTTGCTGCTCATTACAAAGTAGCATAGCGACTGGTAATGACAAAAAGCACATGCAGCATTATCATTGCGGAGTGTATGGCATTAAACTGTAGGGGGCCAGGATTAGGATGTCGGCCATTACCGCGCGTCACTGACCGTTTATTCTACGCCGTGCACAGTGTGGTGACTTCCTCTAGACGCGTATGTATGCCTACATAACCAGAGGATGAGGACATTCGCGAGGTCGCCGTGAGCAACCTCACAAATCACACTTCACCTTTCTATATCATACGTTTTTATTAGAACGAATTTCTTCAACCTATGATTACTAAGTTTTTCTTTTTTTGTATATAAAAATTACGAATTAAAAGTTTGTCTACGATAAAAAGATTTTTCTACAAAAAGAAAAAGAAAATAGCTTTTCGAGGGTAAAATGAATTTTTGTTTAAACTAACAACAAAACAACAGATAACTAAATTGACCGATGTTCGGCAAATTTAAAACGATATTACCTAGATATTATATATATATATATATATATATATATATATATATATATATATATATATATATATATATATATATGTGTTGTATAGCGTACCAAGAGAGGTCTTTTACATGCTAACGGCTCGCGTAGGCGTAAAAGGGAAGAAAATTAACTGTAATAAGCAAATTATTTAATATAAGGAACGCCGGCACGGTCTCTCGTGCATGCAGATACATATTACAGTTGGATACAATTTACAATTTACAATGTAATTCGTGGATATAACAATATCACTTCGAGCAGTGGTATCAAAATGTATTTGCATATCGAACAAAATTTATGATATTTTAGTGGTACGCCCGTTACTCCTCGTAAATATAATTTTTCGCGTCCACAAGGCACCGCGTGACGTTCACGCGCGCGCGCGCGCCAGCAAAAGAAAAAGAGAGAGGGAGGAAAAGAGTGAGAAACATTGAGGAGAGGAGGGACAAAGTCGGAAAGATATTTTATCTCGTACGCGCGAGCCGGGGTTCCTGTCGGAAGATGGAGAGCGATTTTAAACGACGTAGGCTAATTTCACGATTGGAAGTGATTATCACGATGATTGATCGCCCCTAAGCACTCTGATTGCCCTTAAATTGATGTAACCGTGTAGAGAGATAGAGACGAAGAGACGAAGAGAAGAAAAGAGATGTAGAAAGAGAATGAGAGATATAGAAAGAGAGAGAGGGAAGGGAAAGGGACAGAGAGAGAGAGAGAGAGAGAGAGAGAGAAATAGAAAGAGGGGGAAAGAGAGTTATGTTTGCATCTGCAATTGGTCATTTCATTCCCGCGGGTATGTTTGGAAAAACTTTCCGTATCCGGTAACGTCGGGAACACCGAAATTGGCCCTTAATCGCGGTGGCGCCACGCGGCCATGAATAATTGGTCGCGTCAGGAACGAATTCGACGACGGATAATGCTGCAATCCACGAATCGGCGCCTATCATTTATTCAATGGCTCGTAGCTGGTCGCGGCCGAAGCCGTGGATTTGCAAATAGCATTAACTTGCGCCCGCGCGCTACCCGTTTGCGTACGTGTACGCGGGAGCTAGTGGGAGAATAAAAAAAGAATGACTTCAAAATGAGAGAGAGATAGAGAGAAAGAGAAGATATTTGCGGTCGAGGATCAAAGCGTAGCAGCAATTTCGTAGCGTCGTCACCGGGGCTTCTTCCTAAATAGCTTTTTTCCTCTCATTCCTCCTTCACCT